AGCAGACACTTTGCCTCGTAAGTTAGGCATTCGTTATATAATAGCTGTAATACTATATATACAGTACAAGAAAATTAACCAGGTGTTAAAGGCTAATCAGTTTCAGTAATAATAATTACTATAGTGATTAATATTATAAGTAGTATCAAAGCTTATCTCTGAGTCTTCTTAATGAACCAGCACTTTAATAAAGACAGTTAGATAAGCAGATAACAGCTCTTGAGAGCAGGACTCTTCTTTACTGACACTTCAGTTCACGAGGAGTACCACGACTGCGCATGCGCAAACCCCACCCATATAGCCACGCCCGTTTCTATAAAATTGTACTCTACCATAGATAAGGAGTTACATTACTAATGAAACAGAAAGTTGATTATGAATAATGAAACAGAAAACATTTATCAGTAATGAAACTCAAACTACAAAGATAATAACTGCAACAATAGGACTTGAACAAATAGGAATAGTGTGCCTCTACATTACCAAGAGTAGACTGGATAATCTACTTTTGATGTTCCTGAAGGATTTCCTATACAGAATAAGACAGCATACAATGATAACTAATGCGCAATGTAAGCTTACCTGCTTCACTGTAACCATTTTTCAATGTTACATACGAGTAATTAGAGAAATGATCTGAGCATGCGCGGCCACACCCATTTTCAAGCACATGTTATTAAATAACAAAATGGCGGCGTGTAGGTAGTTTCATAGAACCCACAAGCCATATTACCATTTCTTCCTTTCTTGGAGAATGATCTGATGGGACATGGATCCGCGCATTACTATTTGGAGTAGAGTGGTGCAAGAATTATTTTTGTGGCACTAGTCAATATTGAAATACAGGTCGCCAACTGAATTGCCAGGACTTGATGATGATGATGAAGATGAAAAAAGGTGGCTGAACAAAACGGCCGGTTCGCCGATTTTTGGCTTTTCTCTTACACAAGGTATAGAGCCACGCTAGTTGTACCATTGGAGTCCTCTGGTCAAGATAAGGTCCTCTAAGAAGTCTGGTAAGCATAGGAGCTCGTTTTCCCGG